AAAATCTGACCCTGAATCTGAGAGCTTTCGTCTCCGGCCCGACTTGGCCCCACTCGGCTCCAGCACGGACCGTGAAGGGCAGGAGGAAGGAGGGAGGGAAGGAGGGAGATTGAAAGTCAGATCAAAAGTCAGGTTAGAAGTCAGATTCCGGGTCAGATCTGTCTGATCAAACCACCCTGCTCAGATTCCGGTACAGATCAAAAGACAGATTCCTATCAGAATAATTATTTGTTGCAACCCAGTCATTACCCGCAAGTCGAACTTATAACCCTAGGGCAAGAGGGTTTTGAGAACACTTGTAGCAAACTCTAGTAGCGCAAAGGGAACTCACAGATTCCGGTCCTCCTCGCTGAGCTCACATTGCTCTTCGCGATTTTATCGAGCTGTACCGCATAGCTCATGCTGGTAGAAAGTTCTGGGGTGTCAGGTGTGTCCCAAAATATGCTAAGCTCTACCATCACTCGCCTTGCTTTTGTCAGGCTCTTCGCACCGGTCCATGGAGCAGGGCTGACTACTGTGGGACTGCAGGTCAAGTCGAGATCGTGAGTGCTTCTGATGCCGACAAGCAATAGATTCTCTTGTGCCAGCGGGCTACGAAGTCGCTCCAAGTCTGCTGAACTCACAAGATGTAGCAGTCTCGGATGCCGTCAAATGCTTTGAAAGAACTCGTGCTGTGTGAACCCCTCGGCCGTGATCTAAACCAGCCTGGAAGCCTGAGCCCCAGGCTACCAAACTGAGCACGACCGGACTCCGGATCTTTGCCTTTGAGCGACCTGCAATGACTGGAAACACATGCGTGTCGACATGAGCTCTCAGCTCGATACGTAAGGCTTAAGACGCCATTTGCGCTGACCGCAGCTAACCTTCATCCTAGTCCTAACTCTACAGGATATGCACACATCAGTCGAGCTTGGTGGAGTCCTTAACGTATCCGATGTTCCCATCTACCCGTGGAGGAGCTCCGAGGTCCTTCTTAAGGGCTCCATCACGACTGGGGCAGGTTGAAAACGCGGACTTCAGCGTGAAATCTACCAACGGCTCTATCCAGATGCTGTGTGCGAACCTTCTCAACCTGCCACATTGAACATGAGATGTTCGGCTAGTTGATCGGAGAGGTGAAACGCGAAAACATAGGTCATGGCGACTCCTGAACCTTGGCTCTTGCATCGACGGCTGAGTTCTCCGCCAAGAGACAGCACATACTCATCCCGAAAGATGCAGATCTCGAGCTAAGTGCCAAGCAGGCGGGTGCAGTTCGCTCCTACCAAAGCAAATCAAAGGCACCAGACTATCGTCACGCACCGTCTGTCCCCGCACTCACGGGCGAAACTAAGCGAAGCAGCTTAGTCCTGCTACTTCTTGGAGGCTTTGCGAGCTTTTTCTCGCTTCTTCTGGTCCACGATCGTGCCAACGAGAGCATCCTGGCGGCGGACGGAGGAGATCCGTGCCGAGCACAGGCCCAGCAGAGTTGGCAGCACCTCGTAGAGCTTGCAGTGCCTCAGACTGAAGTCCCCCTCTTTTTACAACTGACATCGCGCGAACTAGAAAGAGACAGGCCGCTCTGCTTGAAGACCTTTCAACACGGCATCGATCTCCTGCACAGACGGGCTCTCTTTTCTTCCTAGGTCCTTGCACATTGCAGCCACTGTCGAACCGTCCGACCAATCCTCCGTTTTGATCTTTTTGAAGTCCGCGAAGGCTCGCCAAGTGGTTGTTTCCACTGCTTTCTGCCGGTCAAACCTCCAGATCTGTTGATTGCAAGGCTGTTTTGGGGCGAGCTTTTGCTGCAACTTGCACTTGGCAGAGGCAGCCGGGACCAGTCAATGGCGACTGTGGCTCTGGGGCAGCCGACATCCTGACTTCCACATCCCACCACTTTGGAAACTTCCTTACCTGCAGTTGGCCCGGGTCAGAAGCTCGTCGTGCAGCTGACCCTCCTCGCCTCTTGAATGAGTCTGTGTAAGTCGGATTCCGGGCCTTCGGCCAGCCTGGGGTACACAGCAAGTCACAGAACGGGTAGAACTCCCGGATTGCAGCTTGGCAACAGCAATGCCGGCTTTCCAAAGCTCAAGAACCCAGTGACCTGCAAGGGTGCGGAACCCATGTTCGCCAGAGCAAGTGACTCTGTGCCGACGCAATCCGACGCATCACCACGCCTGGGTGAACTTCGTCTTGAGGTGAGTGAAGAAAGCCCTTGGGAGCGAGCAGCATTTAATAGTGCCCTTGCTGGCTCGCCCCCGTCATATCATGATTACAATCGGCTACTGTGGCGGCCCAATCTGTTTTCGAGGTCCTCACTTTCCTCGCAGGGCTGGCCGAAGCCTGTCAGATGCGAGGCCTGCGGAAGCACGTGAACCATGCTCGAAACGTCACACACTCAGTCAAGAGTAATGTTGACTTTACTTGCATGGTGTCTCTCGGGCCCGAGGACTGGAGACGGACAAGTTGCCGGAGGTGGAGACTGATGCTATCTGCTCCGGTGTCCGTCTGTTTTCGTGTGTCTCAGAATGCGCCTGTACATGTGCACACGTACATACATACGTACATGCATACTTAAATTATACATATTCTCACACATATACATAAGACAATGCTCACGCTTTTTTCGCCTCAGCAATGGAGGAGGCTTTGTAGCAGAGATGTCGGACACAAGGGTTTTGCAACTTTTGGCAGGATTGCAAGTCAGGCTGTTACAAATCTCACAAATAGAAACACAAGCGACCACAAGCTGCGATCTGCGAAACCTTACTCGGCGAAAGCTTGCTCCGGAGCCATCGTTTGCGCCTTTGATCGCCTGCCACCCCTTTCCGGAAAAGGGCGCGCAAGAGTTAGCCTCCCCAGCAGCAGCAACAAAGAAGTGCCTGGGCGGAAAGGGAAGGTACGCAGAAGAGGGCTACCTCCATAAGTATCGTTGTCTTAAACTACAAGAACGTTAAGTCAAAGACAACGCTCACTCTCGTTTCGCTCCAACAATGGAGGAGGTTTTGTAACAGAAAAGTCGGAGACAGGTGTTCTACAAGTCTTGGCAGGCATTCACAAATCAACCTTTTACAAACCCTTATTTAAACAGCGCGCTCCACAAAGCTGCTCGTTCTAATCTACCATAAGCAGCGAAAGCTTACTCGGCAAAAGCTTGTTCCAGAGCCAGTGCTTGCGCCTTTGCTCTCTTGCCACCCCTCGAGAGTTGCATAGCGATGTGCTTTGTCGTAGTAAAGCACGTAAGATTCGCTGAAAGGCCCTCGAGAGACCTCGAAAGACATCTGTGCTAGCCTTGCCAGGCCATCTTGGATGTAAAGTTTTACTGCGCGCTCGCTGCTCCACCGACGCCTATGGCGAACTGCATCGAAGTTAAACGCCAGTTCAACAAACCAAGAGCTTGCAAGCCTTGGTCAAAAGCCTTGCGGAAAATGTAAGTCGAAACTGGTACTTGACCCATTGCTTCCACCGGGCCAGCCGAAAACCAGATTTCAGTTACACGCAATGTGACAGAGTCATAAGTCCCAGTCCGAAAGAGACGCGCATGAGAGGCTTGAAGGTTTAGCAGATCTCCGGTGCGAAGAACAGAGTAAAACCCACCTCAAGCGCCAAGGCCATCAGCGGATCGCATTTAAACAAAAGAGGCCGCTGAGGCACTCAAGGAGGTCCTCAGGCAGAGGAAGTGCAAGTTAAAACATGTCAAAACATTTCGCGCTTCTGCCGCCTGCGGGCCAGACGCCAAGACAGCGCCAAGTTTGGAAACAGAGGTCCTGCCGACCTGAATAGCCGATGTCGTAGCGCTGTCGTTTACCTGGTGTGGACCGCAAAGTTCCCAAACGTTGTCTCTCCCCTTTTCGTTCTTGCTGTGTGCGTGCTGCTATGCCTACTTTGCCCATTTGCGCTTCGAGCGGCGAAGGCGCGACTGCCAGGATCGTCAAACACCAGGAGCGGCTGGAGACCGGTAGCCAGGAAAAGGGAAGCGATGCGGTACATGAGAGGCTGTATCTTTCGGGAACTAGGGCGTCCACGTGAGACGTCGTGCAAACACACCATGGAGTCAGTCAGGTGGATAGATCGTGCTTCCAGGTCTGTTTATCTGAGCATATCTGAGCACACGCCACCACAAAGTGGCGTAGACCGTGCGAAGTTCGCCAAAGGCAGGGCGCCCCCAGTGCCACAAATCCCAAAACTTGCTCTTTAAAGACGAGATACCAGATGAGATGTTTGCATGGGCACTCTCCGGCAACCTTAAGCAAACACTGCGAACCCGGTCAAGCCCTCTGCACATCCGACAAGTGAAGCCCCCTGCACCAAGAAGCCTGCGGTCCCCGGAGGAATTTCTCACAAACACTACACCTACGGACTTCTGTCATCCTTAAGCAGAAAAAGGCTACCGCGACCGAGTATCGCTGTCTTAAGCTACGAGAACCTTAAGTCAATACATGTACATATACATATACGTATACATATACATATAAATACACTAACACTTATACATATACATAAACGTACATATATCTGCATAATATGCGTCCGTATGTGCGTCTATACGTATGTACGCACGTGCGTACGTATGTACGTTCGCACGTGTGTCCGTTTGCTTGCACACATGCATGTGCCTGTGCACGTGAGCAGACAACAAGCGTTCTACCCCAGCCTTGCAGCCAGTGAAAAATGCTTGCTGCTGCGACCGGCTTCGTTTGTGACCGCAGCTCGTCACGAGAGGTGGAGTGCCGGCGCAGTGAACAATCGGGAGGTAGTGTTTTTAGTAAGAACTTCCTCTATGCATCACTGCTTACATCACGCGCATGGCTGCTGTGAAGGGGCCCTGGGGGTACAAGAGAGTTTGGGGATTGAATTGCAGCAAGTTACGCCTTTCCACACTCGAAACTAGAACGTATCACACACGCCATGCCACCCTGGACTCACCGCTTGCAGTTTCATGTGCTGGACAATTGTACCAACATGAGTCATGTCATCTGCGACTTTCCCAATGACTAGCGGCTAGCGAGTACCTGGAACACTGCTGCCTGTTGCATCCATTTTCTCGTCATGGTGGTGTGCCTTGCAGGGGCATGCAAGGGCCATGCAACCATGCACATGCTTCAGTTCGAACCTCTTTAGCATCATGTACGATGTGGGGCTGTCACCAATGCCAAGTCCCGGGCAATGATCGAGACCCGTGCAAACTCAAACTCTCTCGAGGTTGTGCTCGGCGTGGGGGGGACTGAACCTGAGGTTGTTTCCCCGGATTGGTCCCTGACGCAGCCTCAACAAAATCAGCCGAAGCTTGTGGGATCTGGGCTGTCGGATGCGTCATTGGCAGGATCCTTGTCAGGTTGCACAACTTCCGCAGGCGACCTCACACGGGGCCATGCTGGTTGAACTTGGTTGGCACGAATGCCTAGTGAAGCTCCCAGGCCGTGACAGCTCTACGGGTGCCACCAGCTCGCTGAGACAGCCGAGGAGGTGATCCTGCAGCCAGCCTTGCAGCGAGATTCAAGGTCAAAAAACAGTCTAGTGGGTGCAGGTCTTGTGACAGGTCGGGATGAACGTGCGTCGGCCACACGCTACAAGGTGCGGGACTGAGGATGCTGCAGACCAGCATGTGCAGGCACTCTCCTCTGCAGCTGTGCTATCCCCACCCCCCGGGCTTGCACAGGCTCGGACATCTGAGAGGCGAAGGAAACAGGCCCATGTCCATCAAACGGCCACTGCTATGCTTCTATATCGATAATGTCTACTCCTGCTTTTCCGGGAAGTGGGAAAGCATCTGTCTGTTCAAGAGTACAGACAGGGTCTAATCCAGGAAAGTCTGTGCAGCTGTTACGAGAAGACACGGAAAAGATCGACTCCTGAAGCTGTGCCATGATCACGGAGGAAGTTCTGGATGTGGCTGCGCCTGGAATGGAGCTTCAGGCTCTCTGCAAGCATGTAGCAAACGACGTTGGCAGCAAATGCCGTCAACCTGAATCCTGCAAGCAACACAAATCCGAGACAAGGACGAAGACGGCGGATGTCGGGGGAATTCGGCAGCGGGTGGCCAATGCCAGTCGCGGAGGAACTGGGACCCAGGCAGCCGCTCCTGGACTTCGAGGGGCCACGGTGAGTCCAATGTTTCGTGCCTCAGGGTTCCATCTAACTCTCTCTTGGGGTCTCTGAGCTCGTGAGCTGCGAGAGAGCACTTTCGCTTTCCAGGGCTTGAGCACCATAATCTGCGTCGGCTCAGGTGGTCGATCTCAGAGGTTGCAGGCTTTTCTCGCCCAAGGACGGCTGGATACGGCGTGCTCAGCGTGCGCTTGGGCCGTTGCTTCCTGAAGGATACGTATGCCTCGGACGGCTGCAGGGACAGGCTCCCTACAAGCCTCTGCTAGAATACTCTTCTTTGACTGAGGGTGTCACGGCAACTCTAGCCGAAGCCAGACGTTGTGTTGCCTGTCCTTCAGCGAAACCTGTCAGCGGCGTCGCAACGAGCTCAGCACAGAGCGCCCCGTCGTATGATGTCGTATGAGCCTCAAGAGAGCGCGGAGCCGGTGCAAAGCTTCCGGTGGCGGCCTCGCATCAGGCACAACGATGCTCCTGCTCGAGCTGGCGAAACCTGGCCTCGACGTTGCCCGGGAAGGCAGCAACCAGGGCTTCTAACTCTAAGTCTTGTTGCCGGACCATCTCCTCCAAGGAAGTGCCGAGCTTTTGCTTTAGAATGCCCATTCCCAGTCTACCAAATTGAAGTTTCGGCACGAGAGAGGTGCGTCATTTTCATCAGGACCCTCTCAGACATCACAGAGCATCTGCTCAAACTTACGTGGGACGGACGGCCGGAGCGTGCAGAGACATCACTCGCGTCGAATCCGCCGGCACATGTTTTGCGATCGAGCCATCTCGGTTGCTCGGGGCCTACTGTGACCTGGGAGCCACGGTAGCTACAGGGATTGGTGAGTCGTGAATTTCGGATCACGTGCCCCCAGTCTCCTGGCAAAGGCTAGTATATCTGGCGTCTCCAGAGTAGGTTGGTGGGAGTGGGAGCTCCGCAAGCAATTTCTCTGGCGGATTAATTAGCGACGTGACAAAATACTTTGGTTCAGGCCCTTCCAGCAATGATGTCACTTCAGGGCGCGCAAGCTCGATCTTAGTGTGGCGCGTCGGATGGTATTCCTTGCCTTACAGGTAGCACAAGTTGCATAAACACGAAGCCCAGCACGGAAGACAGGTCGGCTGCTTCCTTGCCACATCCCCACCCTCGTCACCTCCGAAAAGCCCAGGCTTTGCCGGCTGCCGCGCTTTTCGCACAGCAGTGCGGTTGCATCCAAGGCCACCTGTCTTCCCAGAGTTCTCCCAACCAATGATGGTGAAGCCTGAAATCTACTCCATCTCTGGGTGCCTCATAGCTTTCGAGGCTCCCTCGGAACTCGGGCTTGAGCACAGCCTGCAAGTCCTTCGGGCGGGCTCCGTTGTTTTCTCACTGCACTCAACCGAGAAAGCTCCCAGGCACGCACACTTTGCACGCGGCTTGCGCCTCCCAAGCTGCATCGACACCTCCGGCGGGCTAGTTGGACACTTTGCATCTTCTTGTAGTAGCATTTTGACTTCCCTGAGCTCCAAGCTGTCGGGGTCGTCGGCCTCCCTAAAGCACAGAGCTACCTGCTCTTCGCGAAACTCCCAACGCTAAACGTATACTGGTGATCGTTCACGCAGATTGCCTCCTTGCGTGCACGCAAGGACACGGGGTACTTGGAGCTCAAGGTGAGTTCCTGCAACCTCTTGCCTCGGTTTTGCGGTAGTGCGATTTCACATCTGACCCAAATCCGCACTTTGGCAGTCCATGCTTCCGTCCCAAGTTCCAAGCGCAGCTTGCGAACCTCGGCCCCCAGATGCAAGTGATGCAGCTTGCTTGGGCGGGCTAGCGGGCTACCCAAGTCTATGGCTTTCAAATCTGGGCTTCCCGGCATTCTTGGGGTCATGCGGCAGGACAGCTCGTCTCTCCCGCTCACCGCGCTGGCGCCGGGAGTGTGCCTCACAAAGCCTGAGTGGCTCCGGTCGAGGCAAGAGCTGGGATACGGACGAGCTGAAGCGTTGCAGAGGCGAGGCATAGCCGTTCGGGTCACTCGAGCACCTGACTGAACTACTTGTTCGACAAGTCCAGAGGAGTTCATTGCCTCAGATGGATTCGCTCCAGTCGACTCCTTCATTTCACGTGCTGTAAAAAGAGTATGAGCATCTTGAAAGCCGAGGTCTTCTGCCCATGGGTGTATGAGGCAATCGTCCAGCGATAGCCGGTCCTGTGTATCCGGAGCTACCTCTCTTTGCATTGTCAGTTCCACGATGCTTGAAGCAAGGGTTGCCGCAAAAAAGATCCCTCCGACCTCTGGCTTGACCTGCAGGAGGCTCCACGTGAGATGTCGGGCCAGGTTGCCTCAAAGGCAAGGAGCCGCCCTTTAACGACTTGACGTGTTTCGCAGCTGCGGCCCCGGCTCAGCTTGCAATCATCCTGGAAAAGAGGCCCAGGCACAGCGACTGCAACGGATCAGAAAAACTAAGCCCTCCTGAAAGATGAGCTTCGGAATATCGCAGCGGCTACGGCTGGGGAAGGGAAGCCTCAGCTCCATCAGGATTGTTGATTCGCGGTTCAGGTTGCGGTCTTGGTGTAAGGCGCAGCTAATGCCATGGGACAGGGACCAAACTCGGAAGCCTGAGGACTCCACACTCCCTCCACCAGAACGAACAGGATGACGCCCAGGCTCCAGACATCAATCTGGCGAGCGGACTCTGCTTATCTCCGCTGATTACACTTCTGGCTGCAACTGCAGAGCAGATCCGCCAGACATTCCGATGGAACTGGCCAAGAAAGCTTCAACAAGTGAGCGAAGGACAGGTGTCCCGCGCAACAGCTGGCATGGACAGGAGAGCAAGAATGAACCGGACCGATCTGAGCGCCCCAAGCTAATCAATTGGAACGGCGACCCTTTCGTCGTAGCCGCCCGCAGAGGCATTGGCAACCTGATAAATTACAACAGAGCTAGATGCCCGGTCGCCACTCCAACAACAGCTTCAGACAAAGCCATATTCCCGTTCTGCTCAACCCACACTCCCGCCAAGAGAAGCAGCTGCACCTCGGGAGCCCAGTAGTTCGGAGTCCCCACCTGCGCTGCTCCCGTGCGCTGTGCCGCTGGCACTTAGAGTCGAACAGCTTTGCACTGGAAGTGGAAGCAGGGCATTGAAAGGCCAGTCTTTCGTCCACAAGCACATCCTTTGCGGCTCAAAGATGGTCCAAACAATTCTGAAGGCCGACCCTCTAACACAATGCCTCTGCACCACAGCTGATCCGGGACCAAGGCCACCAAAGACACACATCATCGCACTCGCTACGTCCCGCCCAATGGCGGGAAAAAAATGAAACTTACAGCACCAGAGGCGGGGCTGCGGTGCTTCACGGCAGTATTGAAATGACGTCAGATGGACAGCACAAGCGAACACCAAAACCGGCGGGCTCCGCTTCCAAGAAGCCTGCACCCGGAAAGTCGATTTACGGGTCAAGAGATCACGACCCTCGAAACAGATACGGAACTCACGCAGCGAACTCGTTCTCCTTCCAGGCACACAAATGATCAGGGGATCTTACACATGGAGCCTTCCTCGCTCGCACCCCGTCCATCGCCTAAACATGCTCTTAAAAAATGCGGGCGTACTGCCTCTGCACATGCCATGTCTTGACCGCGCAGGGAAGTTCTTGTACTGTTGGGTCTCCAACCAAAGTTCCATGTGCAGCCAAACCGCAATGGTGTTAGTCCAGCCTGTTTAAAAATGTGCGCTGTTCGTACGATCCTACTACTACCACTGCTACAGCTGTGCGAGAGTTTCCAACAAGAAAACTTCTTATGTAGAGGTGAGAGTGAGATGGTGAACGAACACAGAAGACATGACAATCTCACTCCCATCCATGCTGGCTCCCTTCGAATATCGTCTGAATCCACTGCAAGCAATGACTACTTGGGCCATGCGGCTTGGCTGTGGCATGGGCACTTGGAACATGTGCACTAGTTGGTTTGAATTGAACGGAGTTTAGCATTATCACCACGGGCCGGGCATAGGCTTAGACCTCCACACACACTGGCCGCAAGCCCCAAGAGCCATTGATGACTACAGTACTTCTTGTACCAATGCTGTTTGCTGTCCCAAGACACCGTGCTACTCTTCTGGACAGTCCGCGTGTGTCGGGAATTCAAACCAACTGGAAGATTACGACGCGCATAAGTCCCTCAGAGCATACTTCTCGGTTCACCGCTGGCGAATTCGTTGCCCTCAGCACGATCCATGCGTCGACTGCTGGCATCATGTTGCTTCGATGAACCCATCCATGCCAGTCACACTTTCACAACAGGCCCCGGACCAGCCCGCAGCAATAACTACTCCCAGCTCTATGCATACGTAGCCAGGGCTACATGTGCACCTTAGCCTGATTCAAACCGCGATAGAACTGTCAAAGGCCCAGGAGCCACTAGTCACTAGTCTCAATGCCTCAACACAGCAAGCTGTCCTTTGCATACTCCAAGCCGGCTTCAATCTCCTCCTTGAGGATTGGCATGAGGGCGTCCAGGCGCCCTTGCTCCTGAGCCATCTGCGAGGTTTGATTGTCAGGACAGCTCGGCCAAGATGTTGCCGGATATCGGGTGTGACAGACTTACAGAAGCCGGGCCACCGTAGCATCTCTGCTCCCCACTCCAAAGATACGCACGAAAATGACTCACCAGTGCAGAGAAGGTGCATACTCATTCAGCTCCCCGATAGGATGGACGGTCTCCACTCCCTGTTTGCCGAAGGTTACCTCCGAGATAGATTTGGAAACGAGCTGCTGAGTTGGATTAGGCATGCGGCCTTGGATGCAAAGTATGGCAGCTCGGTCACCTTCGACTCAACGTAGGCGCACCTCGGCTTTGGATGCGATCCACTTGCGAGTGATTTCTCACTTTTGTCGCTGGTCGAGCTGAGCTGGGCTCTCACAAAACCTGCTGGACCTTTCTTGATTCCTCGTGTGCGAGCTCCGGAAATAGAGCTCCATGTACAGTCAAGACACTCTATGGAGACCTCACCGTTCAAGCCAGCAAGGACTGCCTGCGAAGAGTTGACAGCAAAGCGACTGCGCCAACTCTTCTCATCGAAGGCGCCTTGCCGAGGCGGGCTCCTGCGTAGGCCATGGACAGGGTGGCGCTGCCCTTGCCTCAAACAGAGGTTTACAGAGACTGACAGAACACTGACAGAGTTCGCAGATGCGAACGTGCCGAGTGTGGAAGCGGCTCGAGAGATCGTGACCCGCATGTCAAACGCCTCCACGGCCCTCTTCGACTGTTGCCACAGCACCCCAATCCTGCCCGATGAAAACTGGCCCGCGGAGAACCATTGAAGCGAAGAGGGTGTTGGATGCCCTCAACCCACCTAGAACTACGGGTTTGCAAGATCCTTTATGGTGTATTCGGAACACTATGATTCCGAAATGTTTCACAGTCAAAACCAAGAACTCAGCACAGGACCGTTTTTGGCTGCCACTACGACGGTGCCGGCATCCTGGACCTAGGATGCAGGTCATGGGTCGCTGTTCACTGGCTTTTCATGAAAGACAGTATGAGACATTGATTGCACAGACAACATTTCTGCTGTCTGTCAGCCTTCTTGTCGAGGTCCGGAATCTTGTCCAAAGGAATGGTCTTGCCCACCTGGACACAGCAGCCAACCAGCAAGGATCGCTCGGTGGCATGATGGGCCTGGCACTGGGAGAACAAGGGCAAAATCGTGGTGCCAGCATGGCCACCTGCAACAATGCCCCGAAGTTGTGGGAAGTGCAGCAGCCATGTAGCACGCTGCCAGTGCCGAATGCCCGCGTCGGCAGAAGTAGTCAAGAGTATCGCACTGAGCTGTCATACTTTCTGGCTGACAAGTTTTGAAATTTGCAGCTACAGATCAGCCAAGCCAAAAGACCCAACACCCCCGGCCGAAGAGATAGTAGACAGCAATAAACCTCCGGGATCAACTCTTGATCTACTGAAGTTGCTGGAGCCAAGGAGCCGATCACAGGCACGCCGATGTCATCCATGGGAAGACCGGTCATCTCATGCACAAACTTGTCCGCACGAACGACGTCGAGGGTTGTGACCTGACAGATGAGCTGAAACCTGCAATGTCACAAGGCACAACTTCACATGATTGTCCCGGATCGTGTGAATTGGAGCGTGCTGTGTAGACTAATGCTATTATGCGTGCAGACCGTTGCCTGACCTGACCTTACCTCGGCTCACCTCCACTTACACTGCACACATGTGTACATAGATGAATGTGCATTCGCATGTGCACCTGGGTCCCTGGGTACCTCCGTTGATCTGCCTACCAATCTAGCCGCATCTGTCTGTATATGCATGAATACTTCCAACACAAGCACGTAAATAGTTACACAAATCCGTACATGCATGGGTACGTGTGTCTATCGTGTATGTATATATATATATATGTATATATATATATATATTACTTATACATACATGTGTATATATATATATATATATATGTGTGTGTAGCTTTATATACACGTTCTGTATAACAACAGTATCTATACTAGCAGCAGCAGCAGCAGCAGCAGCAGCAGCAGCAGCAGCAACAACAACAGCAACAGCACCTGCAACAACGGCAGCAGCAACAACAACAGCAACCTTCACAACCACGACTACTACGACGACGACCACAAAGACGGCAACGACGACAACAACCACCACAACCACGACAACAACAACAACAACAACCACCACAAGCACGATCACAAGCCCGACAATAAACATAGTCATGCTAACAATCGGAAGAATGGTAATAGAAGTAATAATGATAATGAAAATAAAACTGAAAATAACAATGTTAATAATTTCCAATAATAATAATTTCCAATAATGATTTGTTATCAGTAATCAAAGTAATATTCGTAGTAGTAACACATGGTATTGCTGAAGAATGATAACGGTAGTACTAATAGTAGAAATATTAGTAATTGGGTATAACAATTAACCAAAGTAGTAATAAAAACTATAGTAGTAGTAACAATGACAACTATAAAGCCAGGAATACGCGCAAATACATGTGGATACAAATAAACTGTGTAAACTTACGTCCATCGTACGTACACAGTCGCACACATGTAAGGGAGCTGAGGCTGCATCGCCCACGATCTTGGCCGGGTTCAGGCCTTTCAAATGGGCATCAACAGACCCCTACTGTGCGACGGCCCCGCATGCAGCAGCAACCGGTTGCCCCGCTGACAGGTGCTGAGGGGCTTGCCCTTCTTCTTCCAGAGCTCGCACATGGCTGGCACGACGGAGTTCACCGGGTTCACAATGAGGCCAACCACTGCCTGGCAAAAGTTGAGCGTTGCCTGGAACATGATAACACGGGCAGGGCAGCGACACGAGCTGGTGGGCTCGGCCTCTGGGCAGTGCTTTGCACATGCCTCCACGATGTTCTTGGCCTGGGAATTTGGAGACCAGCATCAGTCGACACTCTCTAAAACCTGTCGATCATCTGAATCAGCCGCTCAGCCGCAAACAATCCCTGCATTGATGTTGAGCAGATCTTTTCGGTCCTGTTCTCGGCTTCGTCGGCTTCCACTTCCACTGCTCGCAAACAACGAAGCCCAAGTGCCCACAATCCCCTCTTCCCGGCCTGACCGGGTTTTCGGGGCACGCCGGCAGGGACAAGGACGAGGTTGCAGCCCTTCAGGCACTCGCCGGCCTGAGCTTGAACTTTCTGGAAGAGAATCCCAAGTCTGCAATTTGCAGTGCTCTTCTGGGCGCCTTGTCGATGGCCTTGTCATCCTTGTCGAAAGCGTAGCCCTTCACCTGCTGCATGAGGACATGCTGCCAAATCGTCGGCAGATGTGCGGAGCTTCCCTTGGCGTAGATACGTCGGCCGAGCTACTGGGCTAGTTCAAGACCATCGGCACTCATCCAAGTCGCCTTAGCCCTCCCAAACCTGAGCCTCCTCAGCATCCGAACTGAATTCGTGCGCCTTGCACTTCTTGTTCAAGTGCGACAAGTCGGCGGCGACGCCCTCCGCCGGGACCATGGCCAGGGTCAGGTCCTCCACCCATTTGCACGAGAAACACTATGCTTTCTACCTCACTCTTTTTACTTCCCCATGATTCCGAATTCAGTGGCTTCGATACCCTAAACCCTAATTGATTTCAGCCCGAAAGCCCTTAGGTGGCACAGGTACTGTTCTTCCGAGGCCGCCACGTACACGCAGAGCTCGGAGACCTAAGAGGTCCCATGCGCAGGGAGCCGGTCCGGAGGCTAAGGTTTACGATGAGTGAATAAACTTCCGGTACATGCCGCATGGAAACATCCTGTATGGTTCGTGTGCTGCAATTGCAGCAGGCAACTCAAACTGTTACACTGGCAAGACAAGAAGCTGCCGTGGAGGGGATGCGAGAAAACTTCATCTTTGGCAAGAAGGAGAAGACAGTCTTGACTTCAAGAAGTCTCGGCTACAGCCTTTACCTCCTGGACTTTGGTAACCATGACATGTGGGTGGTTGTCAAAATGATGGTCCCTTTTTGGGCCCTTATTATAATACGGCACCTATTATTTAGGGTACCCCAAAAGGGACCATAATTTTGACAACTACCCATGTAGTAGGGAATTAGCCCACTCTCGGCACCCGGCATTGGGATCCATGGCCATCAGCATGCTCAGAGGCTGGCCGATGCCACCCGCACCACCGACCACGCAAACCTGGCAATGATTCCATGAGCACATCGACGAATCGGGGAGGTGTACATGCGGTTCCTGTCCATGAATCATCTCGAGCCTTGAAGTTTCCCGCCATGTCCGCGTGCGCGATACGACCAAGTCAGGACTTTGAGATCAAAATGGCTACGGCAGTCGAGATGCGATTGCAGCGCCTTGCGTCCTTCACAGCATCAGCTTCATGGAAATCCAGGAGCACGCATCAAGGCCAGGATAGCTCGAGCCTGGGACCAGGGCCTGCTGTAGCCGTCATTCACCTCATGCTCGGAAAGCCGCTAGTACCACACTGAGCGACTGAAGAAACCCTAAACCCTAAACCCTGCAAACCTTCTAAAGCCCAAAACGCCTGTGAACCTGCTTTCCTATGAGCGAAGAAAATCCTAACGGCTAAGGACTGCGCCTATTGTTGAAAGTCTCCTGATTCTGAGGCCGAAAGGCGTGCTTGGAGTGCCCGAAGTCCGAGATCTTCACCTGGAGCAAGCCAGGCTGGGACCTCAGCGAGACGAATATCGAAAAACCTGGTCTCTGCACCTGGTGGAAGATGAGGAGCAAGCATATCCGTATAAGGTTAAGACGAACAGCAGACAAAAGAGCAGAGCATAAGAGAAGAGAGCACGAGGATAGGAAGAATAGTCGTGGTGATTACTGATTACTCGTGTCAGCAGAGCCTGTGTGGCTTAGGCTCGTCCTTCGCAGAGGTTCGGGGTGCCTCATCGACAGCAAGCAAAGCCGCTGTAAAACCAAAGGTGATGACAAAGTAGGGTCAGAGACTGGCAACAGGACAGCCTCGAGGGCTCATAGCTGTCATAGCTTCAATCTGAAACAGAGGCCTAGATCCGGGCTTTACGTGTGTAGAATTGCTGGACTTAAGTTGGAGTTGTCCTCATAAGTCTTTCGTTGGCGGTTTGCAATTATGGAGCTTGAAACTTGCATGTCAGTTCTAGCCGTCTGGCTCTGCCTTTCGGTGCCTTGTACTGCGGAAGAAGAGTTGCTTGGTAGGTTGTAGGCTTTGGTCTTGTTGTCGTCACTGATGAATGTGTTAAACTCGAACGGTAGTTGAACCAAAAGAACTTTGCAGCCACAAAATCAGACTTGCACACGGCGCCAGGTTGCACAGACGAAACCGCGTGGTTTCGAATTCCGTGGAGGAAGGCATTTTCAGAAGAGCTTCTACGCATTTCTGCCCTAGTCGGTGCATGGTTTGACGGCTTCTAGCCATCACCTGACAGTTTAACGAACCCCAATACCTTAGCCCTATGCCGAAGCCCTGAACTTGCCCTGAACCTTAACAATGAAAATACAGGACCTTGAAGCCCAAGCCTTAGCGCGCTGTTTTGCGATTACTGTCTTCGCATTTCAGGAGGCTTAGTTCCAAAACCTTAGGGCGACATTGCTTGCGAAAAGCGGTATTGAGAAGCGAGTTTCTACCAAGAGTACATGCGATTTGCGTCTTGCCATCTTGCAGGGACGGGTCTTGCCGTTTGGATTTTTGGATTCTTCCCTCATCTTCGGAAGAGACACTTGCGGCTTGCGTTGCGGAACTAATCCTCAGAGCTTTTGGGCATGGCACTTGCGATTCGAGCATGTAAGCCGCTTGCCGCGGACAGTGTTTTCCAAGACTGTAGCGGAACGCAAGTGGAAGAAAGCTTCGAACAAAGGTCGATGTTGATTCATTTAAGACAACACAAGACCAATACTTGGGGACACCTACATAGAGGGAAAGCGCCAGAATTTGGAATTGCTCGGCACGCCACAAGGCTTTGTCCACCAAGACATTCTCCAGCTTGAGATCTCGATGCACCTCGGACAGATACAGGTTGTCTTGCTCGTCTGTCCCTCTCAGTTCACCTCCGGATCTCAAGAAGTTCGCCGTCACACCTCTGTTGAGCAAAACATCCGGCTTTCCAGAACTGTCCGAGATGTGGGCCACGCCCTTGGAGTGGATGTATCTGAGACCTGTTGGCTGCCATGCAGGTCGCACGCAAACTGCCATGCCACCAAGGCTCTGGCCAAGAACTATTTGCAGAAAAACATATCTTGCCTGTCATCGGCAGCACGCAGGGTATGCTAATTGCAGCATCCACATGAGCATGAAAGGACAAAAGAAGTAAAACTGCTCTTGCAGCTGGTTGATGAGGAAGAAACGGCAGCAGACGGCCTCATGTTCTGGTAAAGGGCCATTTTTGTCGATCTCCTGCGCGAGATGACTTTGACGAAGCCAACATTCCGCTGCCAGGCGATGAAACGGGCACTGGTTGGACACCAGTATCTGCTATTATGCACCCCAGACGACATCAAAATCAACACATATCAAAACGAACCAGATCACACCCTGGCAATGTGCCAGGCAGACGTCGATGAGTTCACCACCATCCACGAACTCCATGACCAAGAAGCGCCTCCCAGCAGGCCCGCGCTGCCCGCAGCGTTTGGATATATGCTGGAATCCACCTAGCCACCTAGTCGAAGAAAGCAGAGCGGCTCCGAGCCAAGAGCAAGCCTTTCGAAGGTTTCGTGCACGTCGTACAGGGATACCACCTAGACCAGAAGGCGCTGTTTTTACCGAGGACGGCTTGAGCCCTTGAGACCCGTGGTCTTGGCCAAAGCAGTGGGTCTTCTGAGGCCAGTGCGTGCGGGTGGCGCATGGAGAAAAGGATGGCAGACCTGGGAGGAGAAGTTCGTGTCAAGCAGATCCATCGAATCTGCTTCTTCCGTTTCGGATGGCATACTTTTTCGTTGCAACAACTGTTGGTTGCTTGCGGAACTGGCTCGCCAGCCACATCATAGTGCCAAGGGGAGACATTTTTTGGTCGTCCCCTTAACATGAAGCAGACGTGCAGATCCTAGCTGGTGCGCATCAAATCATAACGGCTCATTCATGTGTCTTGAACGCGGTTAGGATGCACGTCACCTTGCGTGGAGTCCAACGACCTCTCGGCACGGACTTTTTAAAACAGTGGCACGACGATCTTGTATCGCCAGAAGGGCAGATTCACAATACGGGTGGAATCAAGCCACTGGCAGCGCTGTAGTGAAGGTCGGCTGAGGCCAACTGACCGTTCCATTGAAAACAGGTGGAACGTGTGAAACTTTGACGCACGTCTCACGGTTTTCATGGTTTCGACCACCGACCACCACCTCTGGGCCTGGATCAGCAAAGCTACAGCTACACGACTCTGAGAACAGATGATTGCCTTCACTGTATCCAAACATGTACATTCTCGCGCTACAGCTTGTCAACTTTCCGGGCGACCTGCTGTTAGCAGAACATTCGCGCATCCCTGCCATCGTCCTGACATGTCTTGGGCAAGCTCCTGTGAACCACGAGGATAAGTTATGTCAAAACTGGAAGCCTGATGGAGGACGGGTGCAAAAACCCTGCTTCGACATTCAATTTCTGGGCTTTCTGCTTGCACCGGCAGGACAAATCTTGAGACTCGGCAGTCCTTGATTCCGACCACGTGCCCCCTTAGCGCCGCACAAACATGATCTCTCCGCATGGCAACAGTTCCACGAAACGCCCCATTCCTTGCAACCGTCCTGGCCCTCTCAAAGGTTCTAGCCTATTTGCAGTTTTGACACTCCGGACAGGGTGCAGTCGGCTAAGGATGCACTTGTGCTACAAGCGGTGTGGCGAATATGTACCAGCAGGTAGCACGGAGCTTTCCTGCTTCGAAACACAGACCTGCCTGTTGGGATTCCAGTGAGTGAATCCTTCTAGAGCTTGATAGCCACACTGGTTAAGCTAAGGGACACGATGGCCTGTGCGACATCCAGCGCAAGGAAGCGGCCAGGACAAATCCGAGGGTACACCGTCTCCTGGTAGCACTCTAGATGTCATCATCGGTTGATCAGGGTGCATTCTGAATACCACAGACTCCACCAGGCAGCAGCCGTCATCGTAGCTATGAGAGCTGCTGCAACACTTCTTCCACCATACGCTTTTATAGAACTCTGGTCTCCGGATGATTCCCGGTCTGCTCGCTGAGCCCATGTGGCTGAACGCCTTCACAGCCCGGCTAGTATGCAAGAAACCTGACGGCCCACTTCCATGTGTCCGGCAGAGAAGTGGTGTAAACTGGCAATGATGATATCAATAATCACAATAACAACAATAACAATAATAATAATCTAAGAATAATGTCAACTACAGGGCTTATCAGGTGCCTGCAGGGCCCAGAGTGGTCAAGTCTATGAAACCCCAGGTCGCAAGGGCGTGCTCGATTGCATCATTTGTCCACTGAAGTTACCCGCAAGTCGTCCAACATCCGCCAGTAGCGCCCACGTATCACATGCGACGTCATGCTCTCCTCTCTCCTGCTCCGTCAGCCCCCACACAGTATTGACAACAGAAATACTAGTTTCCCCAAGAGCCAGGCGCCTCATTGGGCGTGCCAAAAGCACCATTCCACGTAAGGGCTTGGTCCAGCTCCTGCTTCATAAGAGCCCCAGAAGCGAAACTCACACGCGAGTATAGAATGAACGTAGCTCCTGAAACTACGCTTGAAAGCAGCCCATTCGAGGATAAAAACCAGAAAACTTCAGTCCCGCTTCCATCAGCAAGCAGCCTTTCAATTACATCCAACCATAAGGCGAGAAGATTCGGTTTCCTGTCAGCTGCTATGAAACACATCCAAGATCATCCAGTGCCGACAGGTGTCTGGAGGACTTTTTATGTTCAATTTTACAAGAGCTTCGACCGAGCGCAAAGTTCATTTAAGCACACACAGTCACAAGCTCGAAACCAGCTTTAGGTCTTTGCTTCTCTGGTGTACAAGGCTGGCCCCTTAGCGGAATGAGCTGGCCTTGCGGGTAGGATCGAAGACATCTGGGTTCTCGAAGATCTTGGTGTCTCGGTTTGCCATGGAGATGACGTACTGGTTCAGTGTCTCCGGCGGCATCGTGTATGGGACACCCTTGAATAGGAGCTCCTCAGCGGAGGTCGGGCCACTACAGCTACGAGAAGCGATCGAAAAAAGCTCAGCCAAATGACCCGCTCGTCGGGGTCAACGCGAGTGCAGCTCGTCACCGGCGGGTCAATGCGACAAGACTCCTGCACCAAACGGCTAAAACAGCTAAAGATAAAACAAAAGACGACGAGCTGATTTTGCCTCTCTAGCATGTGAACGAAGGCAAAAAATCAAAGCAAACAACGGATCTCGTTGTGCCGCTTGGTGGCAAGCCGTCTGCCGTCCAAGCCAACAAAACACTGAAATGTACGAAAAAGAACCCACACAGAGGCCGAATCTCATTTTTCTGATGCTGGCTGTATCGTGCTTCCATGTGCGTTCGTTGCTGTTACTGTACTTCCCAGCATTCCGCAGCCACCTGAGCCAGTTCGGAAGAACAAAGCCACAACTTTGCATCCTTCGGAAGCCGATTAGAGGGTTCTGGCTTCCGAAAACTGAGGGAGGTGGGCCTTGATGTACTTCACCGGACTGGCTTTGTATGCCTCCAACATGTCTTCGGTCGTCGGATACCTTGGCTTCCAAGAGTCCCTGCCACCTCCCACCTGCCTGCACGACCTCATATGTGCAGACATGCTGCTTCTCGAAGCTAATCAGATGGGCGCTCGCTTCTTCAGGGATCTTTCCTTCCATTCACTGCCGCGGGGTGGAAAACTGTGAAGTGAGCTACTGCTCTCAATCCAGGCTCGATTGAAGTCGCTGGATGGCAAAAGCATGCGCTCCAGAAATCAAGGCAAAGAGGAGACAAGAACATCCGAATCTTGCGTCCAAAGCAGCTCTGAAGGAAAGCGCCCACTGTCTCGCAGCAAGCACTCGTGCCACCGATCCCAGCAAAGCCCACGGCAAACCTTGGCTTGTGGCTACTGCCGAACCCTGAGCTGCTCCGGGTTTGCCCTGTCGTGTCCTTCAGCCTACAGCCTAAACCTCGCTGTTGAGTTCTGCAAGTCGCACGGGCATGACAGGGAATATGCTTCCATGAACACACACACACACTCTCACTCTCTCTCTCTCTCTCTCTCTCTTACGTTCATGTATACATATACACGTATATATGTGCTGTGTGTGTGTGCGTGCGTGTAGTGCGTGCATGCATACATACACCTACCCATCAACCAACCTACTCATCTACCTACCTACAGACGACAGACTGACAAACGTTCATTCGGTCATTTGTCAAATCATTGATTCACTCACTGACTCACTCACTCATGAATTTCTTGCCTTATTATTCACGCTTGCATGCATGCGTGCACTCATGCACACCATGCACGCATTGCATAGCAGTAGTAGCAGTAGTAGTAGTAGTAGTAGTAGCAGCAGCAGCAGCAGCAGTCGTCGTGGTGCTGCTGGTGGTGGTGGTGGTGGTGGTGGTCGCAGTGGTAGTGGTAGTGGTCGTGGTCGTGGTCGGTCGTGGTCGTGGTACTGGCAGCGGTAGTGGTACTGGTACTGGCACTGGTAGTAGCAGTTGCAGCAGCAGCGGTAGTGGTAGTGGTAGTGGTAGTGGTAGTGGTAGTGGTAGTGGCAGTGGTAGTAGTAGTCGTCGTCGTCGTCGTAGTAGTAGTAGTAGTGCTACTACTACTACTACTACTGCTGCTACTGCTACTGCTCATGCTACAACAACAACTACTACAACTACTACTGCTCCTACTATCAAT